TGGCATTACTAAGGAGATCCGTCAGACTTGCCGAGTGACCTGCAGATCCTTCTCCTTCTCAGCCCCATTTCCCCTCTTGCCACGGAAAGCGATCGGTGCTCCCTTTGGAAAGGAGCAGAGCTGTGCAAACTGCTGCCCTGAAAAAAGAAATGAAAAGCCCCCACCCACAGCTGCCCCACAGCACAAAAATGGGGAAAACGGCAAAAAAGCTATTGCTTCTGACAGACAAATTTACAGGCGAGTCGATGCAGCCTTCAGCGGCACTGTCAGGAGTTTAGGGAAGAACTTACCGTCCGGGATAAGCACTTCATGGCACATGGCGAGCTCCTGGGCGGCACTGGGCTGGGCGAACCAGGCGCGTCGCAGCGAGCTGTCGCTCTGCGTTCCCGCAGAGCACCCAGGGATGGGGCCAGGTGCCAGGGCAGCCTCCTCCTTCCCCGTCCGGCCTGACCCGAAGCTGTGGGCCTGGCTCGCTACATGTGCAGGCCCCCTCCTGCCCCGCAGCGTGCTCTGAGGGCGTCGTGTGCTGCCCGCTCCCAGAGAGCGTTGGGATGACCAGGAGGTGCCGACATCACCATTCTCCTCAGTGCACCCGCCAGTCCACCAGGATTCAAATTGTCCGCGTCACTAGGCTCCAGGTTCTTCCGCAGGGTTGGGAGCTCCTGCTGCGTTTGCAGAGGGCGAGCACAGCTTTGTGGCTCAGATCCACCCCTCATGGCTCATTCACCGCTCGCAGCAGGAAGAGGGGAAGGCACAGCTCCCATGTTCCCGCTGCAGCAGATTTCTTGGCCAGGAAAAACATTTTTCCTTTTATTTTTGGTGTGTGTTTTAACGGCTGCTATTTCTACATTATCTATTCCCGAGGTTATTTCCTGGGGGAAGGATTTAATATTTTTAATTCCAATAACGTTAGTAACAGTTGCCATTTTCTGCCAACGTTTCTGCATTTTGGGATAGAACCAAATTATATGTTCTAAGTTCCCCTTCCTGTTAGGTTCTCTAGGAAAGCTTTAAGGCAGTTATGTCACACCCCAAAAATCACAAGGAAAAGAAGAGACCTGGAGTGCTGCGTCCAGCTGTGCAGCCCTCGGCATCAGAAGGATATAGACCGGTTGGAGCGAGTCCAGAGGAGGCCACGAAGATGCTCCGAGGGCTGGAGCACCTCTGCTATGGGGACAGGCTGAGAGAGTTGGGCTTGTTCAGCCTGGAGAAGAGAAGGCTCCGGGGAGACCTTATAGCACCTTCCAGTACCTGAAGGGGCTACAAGGAAGCTGGAGGAGGGGACTTTTTACAAGGGCCTGTAGTGACAGGACAAGGGGTAACGGGTTTAAATTGAAAGTGGGGAGGTTTAGATTGGATATCAGGAAGTTCTTCCCGGAGAGGGTGGTGAGGCACTGGAACAGGTTGCCCAGAGAAGCTGTGGATGCCCCATCCCTGGAAGTGTTCAAGGCCAGGCTGGATGAGGCCTTGAGCAACCTGGTCTAGTGGAAGGTGTCCCTGCCCATGGCAGGGGGGTTGGAACTAGATGGTCTTTAAGGGCCCTTCCAACCCTGACCATTCTATGATTCTGTGACTTTTCTTACGTTTATGAGACTGATTTTCCACCGGGTTCCGGGCTGTGGCCAGCTTCCTGCAGTTAGCCTCATTCCTCCATTCCCCTGGCACATGCTTCTCTCCCTCACGTAGCTTTCACAGCGTTCAAGCTGACTTCCTGGATATAGCTCCTGCTGCTAGTTCTTCTGCATCCAACGAGGAACATCATGCTTATCCAGAACTGTCGCTGCTGCTTGGCAAAGCTGGCTCAGTGAGGAATACAGGTCGGGAAAGTTGCTGAGCTCCCTCTGGCCCGGTGCCACCAGCACCACTGCATTACAGAGTTTCCATTCTGGAATCGCACGTTTTGAGCCAGTCCTTTAGAATTTTGCACACACGGTGAGCGGTGTTACCGTGCGCCCGTGTCCTTGCCGAAACCCAGGAAGGGAATTCCCGTCTTGCCGAGCTCAGCGGCAGGTTCAGCGCTGACAGTGGAGTCAGGATGGCATCTCCAGTGTCTCCTGTGGCCTTAGCCACCACCACCTCAGGACGAGTAAACTCCTTACCTTCCGTCAGGGAGAAACACATTGAAGGGGTTGGCTTTGTGGGGTTTTTTAAGGGAGGATCTTTTAAAAACAAGCACTGAGATCCCTTCTTAACAGGTGGCACAGAAGGATTTTGCAGGAAGCTCAGCTGCACCCGGAATGCTTAGAGCCACTCCCAGTATATGGCATATTGTTAATTTCTCCAGATTTCCTAAAATTTACCCTGAGTCCCCGTTTACCCCTGAAACACCTGAAAATGAGGTGAGCCTTCCAGAGATCGCGGCCCACAAGGCTGGAAAAGATTTGTTTCGCAATCAGTCCTTTTGGCGAAATGGGAGTCGGCCCCTGTTCCTGCAGCAGACTCTGAGTAACAGAGCCGCGGCGGAAGCGCCCGTTCCCTTGCCAAGATCCGTCTCCGCGGGTGAACCACGCGCATTTAAGGGACGCGTTGGGGGCAGCAGCCAGCGGGGCCCAGCACAGCGGCAGTGGCTGCGCTGGCAGCGCTGCTCCGCAACCGCGTGGGATTTCACGGGCCTGCCGACTGCTCCCACCGAGCGAGTTCCACCCGGGAGTCCCGCCCCTTCTTCCAGAGGGCCACGAGGACGGGTGGAATTGGCTCACCCAGAGATTCCGCGTCAAATGCTGGAGCAGAGATTTGGATCCCGTGGCCGTAGCTCAGACCCACCCACAGTGCCAGGGCAAAGCCGTCAGAAGTGCTGCCGTGGGGCAGGCAGAAATCCTCCTTCCCAAGAAGACGTAACACGCTTTCGATTCAGAGTTTTAATAAATTGTGCCAGTAGAAGCTTTCAAAGGCAATGATATATCAATAAATAACAGTTAAATTGAGTTCCTGAGAGAGAACCTACCACATGGAAGAATGTCAGCTAGATGTAAATAACAAAAAACGGCACTCCTACGCATTCCTAAAAAAAAAAAAGCGGTAATACTGAACCTTAGGTAACCGTCACAACACAAGCACTGCACACCCCAGACCCCTCCTCTCGCACGCATGTAAACAAGTACACAGTCATTTCCGTTTCGTTTAGGCTGATGAATTTATATGGTGTTGCTTAGATATCTAAACAATGGCTAGGATAGGATATGCTAAAAAAACATCAAGGAATAATATGTGGAATAATATATGGAAAAAAAAAAATTAAGCTCCAGATTTAAAAATAAAATAAAGCAAAAACGCACGAAAGGAGTGTTTTCCTCAAATGTTATGATGTCAATCACTTTAAATAGGACTGTTACACTAATCTGAATTAAGGATTTTTGCATGTGTTTACTTATTTAGTTATATATAATATATATGCAAATATGTATGGCTTAATTATCTTTAGTATTCTGATATCACCTTGAATAACTCTCACTTACACATAGAAGAAAAACGCCTATTTTAACATAGTAAAGAATTGGTATTTCCAAGTACGCCTACGATTTGACAGAAGTTCAGGACTATCGTGGTCCATCACAGCAACATTTTTACCCACAGACAACAGGGCAGAATGGCCTCGGACAAAGGCAACGTTCTCAGGCGCCGGTGCCTAAAACACGAGGAT